AGACCTTTATAATACTGGAAGATATCCTTACCAGGGTGTTAAATACTCTCGAAGCCAGGAAGAAGAAGAAAGCATTGTACCTATTGCCGACGCATCCAATACTCATCCTATTGGTGCTGTCATAGAACAAGATGATTTAGCAAATGAAAGAGATGTTAGTTCTGCATCTGACATAACAGGACAAGGTGATGACATCATAACTAGTAACTTTGAAGAAAGTCGAACCAAAAGCCGATATTTGCCAGGTTCTAGAGTAAACGAAAGGCATAGACATCCCAATATGTTATCAGGACGCCATTTGTATCAAAGAAAGTATCCTAAAGCTGACGTAGATGAACCTTATCCTTTATTAAAACCACCTCCTCCGCACTCTCCCATAGGTAGGGGTAGTCATATGAAAATGGAAAAACACGCTCGCAGACGGCGTGTTAACAAACCGAAACTACTTCGAATCATGAAGACTGAGCCATTATTTGAGGCTGGTGCTGAAACTGAAAGTTTAGAGACATCTGTACCAATATTACTGCGACCACCGCCACCGGTTGCTGAGTCAAAATCAGATACCGTCAGTGCTGAGGATACCACGTAGGATATCGTAACTTATTGTATAATTTATTACTTGTGTAAGTACATTTTCTGAATTGATGTACAATGTTCTATGTTGTATTTAGATATTTAAGTTGTTATTTAATTTAACTTTTGTAATTTTATTGCTCTAAAAATGAATTTCGGACTGCTTTGAACGATGTATTATTAAAATTTGGCATTTATATTTTATTTAAGGTTTACATTATTGTTAAGACTTATTCTAGTTACAAATGTATGTGGAAGCGTCTCAACACAAATGTATTATTGTAAATATTGTACTTAAAATAATCATTTTATTCTAATTATATTGTTGTGATAAGATACATTCGTAGCTGTTGAGGTTGTTGTTAATAATTCTAAGTGTTCTCGATGTTTTACAAAAATAAAATGTAGAATTAAACTGCGTATTATTTGCCTCCATTTTAAGCTAAGGTAAAAACATTGACGCATGTCTGCGAACAATAAAAACAGGTGCTACTGTATCACGTAATAAATCTGGCTCGGAATAATTTTCTTATGATTTCTCTCGAGCAATGTTAATGATATGTTACAGAGGCTAATGTCACTGAGACAGATTCATAGAGCATTACGTAATTTAGAGCTAATTATTGCGATTAAGAATTTAATACGAAATCGATTTAATTATTACATAGATTCACGAATAGTTTCATCGTAATAGAGCAATAAATTAGTAGATAATCCACTTTTACGTAATGTAGCCATTGAATGATATCAAATCTTTATGAGTATACATGAAATAGTACTTGAGCATTTACATGACAGACATAAAATAAAAAAAGACTATGGATCTGAACAAAAACTTGATCAGTTGTAGTGAGAATTGGGAAATTAGATAGCAATTTTTTTCATTCGGATAAAGTTAATATTCGGATAAAGGTCGACCTGAAAATTATGTAAAAAAGGCCAGAAAGAAAAGTGTTGGTAACTTTCATTACGTCACAAGTAAAAACAAAGAACCATCATCAATAACAACCTATTTTATAATACAGAATATCAAAAAAAACCAATTAAAAAATATATATATTGTCTTGTTGTATAAAACCAATTTTATAAAAAATAATATTGTCTCGACTGTTATGCGTTAAATGTACTGAAATATTGTGGAACTCGCGTGCGTCTCGCTTTCTTGACCACGTCGCCGATGGGACTCAACTCTCATCTCACGTTTTGCGATCAATTCAAATTATGAAACTCATTAGTCATTTTAATCAGCTAATCGGTTGCAATGTCTTTGGAGTATGATAATTTGCATGTTCTATTAGTAGTTATGTATACCCATCTCTACTCGGTATGTCTGAATTTGTACTAGTATTGGGTATATCTTAAGATTTAGTTCGATTGGAAAATGTAAAAATGTGTAAATAGTGATCATATTTCTTATTAATATCGCTTGGTTTAAGGACATGTTAAATTGCACCAGTATTAAAAAAGCATTGCTTCCCAAAGTATGTTTTTTTTTATTTTTACGTTGGTTAACCGATACCACATAGTACTCTTAATATTTCATGGGAAACATAAGATGGTCTACGAACAATATTTTACAGCAATATTTAACTGTAAATTGAGATGTATGGTCAACGATCACTCTAAATCAAATTTCTAACAGATATTAGCTTTTTAATCAAATTTTTGATCATGATTAAATTGAGTCCAATTAATATAATGAGTCTTATTATTGGCTCTTTTATTGCATTGGCGTCCACGCAAACGTGCGTGGACGCCATATTATGATTTATGACTTACTTTATTACTACGTTATAATTTATTATAGTGAACTTAACATGCATTGGTAACGAAACGCAGTGAAAAACTAGCTATAAGGCGACGGCAGAGTATATAGAACACATTAGTCGCCATAATCCTCATATCTTATGATAAGAGCTAATTAACTCGTCGAGTACCGTCATTATAGACACAATTATGGAACAATAGGTTGCGGTCACCGGTGACCGCTTGGTGTTTGACAGTTTAAGGGAGTAAACTTGAGAGAAAATTGTATTATGAACCTCATTGGAAAAAAGTAATCAACCTAGCTATCTTGCTTGTTCTTCTCCATAGGAATATACACCTTGGAATGAGCATATATCTTCACTTTACATTTTTGTTGACGTTCAAAAGTGCCTTCTTGGTCTAAATGATTTTGATTCTGACACATTAATTAATAGAGGCAGCAACGCTCGCTTTTCGATAAAACTGAATCTTTTAATCTACGACTTCAAGTCCTCCTGTCAAACAAGGTGATTAATTATGGCCAACCCACTTATGTACAGGAGACAAATATAACTTGGGTGTCTTCAAAGCTCGAGTGAATAATTTTCTTTTGGACAAACGTTCTCCATCGTAGACTGCATCATTGCTTGAAAGGCAAGATAAGGTTAGATAGTGGCCAAACGCCGAAGCATCAAATATTTAAAAAATCACAGTCCAATCAAAATAACAGACTGTTATGCTGTGATGAAGTAGAAATGGCGTGTGAACTAAAGAAAAAACGATATACGGCCACAATTGTTACATCATTAATCAGAGATTTATAAATAAAAGCCTAATTTATAATTCATCTCCAAACAACACAGATATCTGAATTAGAAACGTCACTTTCATTTGTCATACAAGCTTTCTAGAAATATTCAACGCCTTTTTGACCTTTTCGAACCAAGTAGCATATAGTTCCATTCATAATGCATTAAAGTAATTATAATCTTAGGTCTGCAGTGATCTGAACTTAGACCTAAGCTCTCGCTTTAAACCTTTTCACTATAAATGTTAAACACTTAATTGGTATGTTTCGTTACTTTACTGTTCACTTGTGTAGTTAATCATTATCTGAGTAAAACGTTTTAGGTTTCATCTTCATAGTTATCGAGTGATGAGTAAGGAAATTTATATTTTTTTAACCGGCTTAAAAAAGACGAATGGTCAGTTCAAGCTGTATCTATGTATGTTTGTGTACATTTATCTTACGATTGGCTGAACCGATTTCTTAGGAGAAGGTTTCAGTATATTAATAAACCGATTTCAAGAAAAAATAGGGCTTGAAATGTTTTTAAACGTAGTTAGTGGTGCGCACGGTTCGGGCCAGCTCCAGTACCGCTCTGGCAATGATAGCAAGTAGAGTGGACTGTCCCTACATACGTCATTGCTGTGAAAGACACAACCCGCAATGTCGGACGAAGAGATTATATTAACTTTATCTTTGATTTAATTTTGATTTAATTTGATTTACTTTTTAATTTGATTTATTTTATCTATTTCATTTTATGGTTATAATGACATGTCCTTATAAATTTCCTAAATAGAACAATTGTATCTTTACTTATTAATATATTTTACCTATCTGATTAACATTGTAATAATATGGGTTATGATCACCTGAAATAAATGTATTTTATTTATTTATTTTATTTAATAGAAGGATTATTCATTTTGGTTATTTTTTTTATCTCTGCTGCTAAAAGACTGACATGACTGACAGTGCTTCCAGCACTTAGGGCTTCTATAAAAGGAGAGCATTAAGAATGTATACTAAACATTTAAAGAGGTGCTATTATAAGCTAGAAAAAGGTCAATCAATACCCTTCAATATTTGAAGTTACGTTTATTTGCTCTGATGACGTATGTATAAAATAGAAGTAAAGAAAATGTGGCTCCAAAAACAATGGTTGATTAAAATTTATGATATGAAAATGAAAATGAAAGTCGCTTTGATGTGATTAGATGACTGAGATTCTTATGATGTGCATATTAATTTATAGGCTAAATCTGGAGCGTCGACGATTGTAAGAATGTAGCGTATACGTAATAGCATCTGTAATACTTCGAAGGCACCCTTTTTAGATACTAGTACCTCGTCACGCATACTACAAACTCGTTACTGTCACTCAACCAATAAAACAAAGAGGATTAATGTAAATTGAAATTTAGTACCTCCGAAAATATTTACAATGGTTTTCAGAACCGCTTTTCTTGAGAAAGTGTTCCATCTCAATATCTACTTACAAACAAAAATTAACCAGAACTTTAGTGGATATGTCCACACATAGGTAAGTTGTCGAAGTTTAGACACTTAATGCAATGCGCAGTTTGGCAATTTTACATTAAATGCATTAATATACCCATGGATCGAAATAGAATATTAAAATTAAATATTTCGATATTAATAAAACCTTTTCAATGTCATTATAGTTAGAAATCGCCATAATATTCATATCAATAAAGACAGACTCCTTCATCAGCGGTCATTGAGTAACCGATGAGCATAATATATTCAACAGCTACGGCTAGTACGCCGAATGTTTCCGTTAGAAAAGGAAAAGACTATTCAGAAACCAGTTCGTTTACTCTCGTTCTCAACGCGTGTTGACCTACACGCGACATCGATATAAATATCATGGAAGTATACGATATCATCACAAACAAGCGTCGCTTGTTGAAGTCAACACAAGTTCTCCTAGTGGCCAGCGATTAGCTAATCACAATGGCTGCTTTTGTAAGTATATTAAAAAAAAAACAAAAATGACAGCCAAGTTTCCTAAGTAAGAATGAAAGACTAACTTGATCCTATCTTTTCAGATGAAACTGACATGTTTAGCCATCCTATTGAGCAGCACCTACGCCGGCATCCTCCATGGTCACCATCACGATGACCATTCATCGGGTGGATACCCCTCACATCATTCATCATCCAGCTTCTCTCCCAGCAGTTTTCCCGCTGGATCACTACCATCAGCCACTTATTCTGGTTCAGGGTTAAGCCACGGTGACTACTCTCATGGCAGCAGCATCCTTGACACTTCATTGTCTGGTTCTCATGGACACCACGGACTTGGTGACTCTGGATACAGTAGTTCCTCTATCGGAGGTGGTCACGGATTCAGTGGTAGTCACGGATTGAGCGTTGGTTCCGGATTGGATAGCCACGGACTAGGTGGTTCCGGATTGGGTGGCCACGGACTAGGTGGTCACGGATTGGGTGGTCACGGATTTGGTAGTGGTTCTGGATTGGGCAGTGGTTCTGGATTTGGTGGCCCCAGCTACAGCAGCGGATCTTTAATTGGATCACCCAGCATCGGCAGTGGACCTGGAATTAGTGGACCCAGTTTCGACGGTGGCTCTGGAATCAGCGGTGCTGGTCTCGGTGGACCCGCTCTTGGTGGACCCGCTTTTGGTGGATCTGGACTCGGAGGGCCCGGTTTGACTGTTCCCGGAGGTGATGCTCCACCCCCAGGTGCCAAAGCCCCTGTCATTGAAGAGATCCACGGTCTTGCTAATGGCAACGGTGCTCCTACTCAATACCGCATCCGTGAGGAGCCCTACCAAGTATTCAGGGAAGTTACCCACAGAGTGCCCCAGCCTGTGCCTTACCCCGTGCCCCAGAGGGTCGAGATCCCGGTGCCCCAGCCCTACCCCGTTCAAGTCCCAGTCGTCAAGAATGTGCCAGTGCCAGTCGTAAAGATTCAGCAAGTAAAAGTTGACAAACCAGTGCCCTACCCCGTCGAGAAGATCGTGAAGGTCCCATACGAGAAGATTGTAAAAGTACACGTAGACAACCCTGTCCCCGTTGAGAAGATTGTTGAAGTTCCAGTCGTAAAGCTGATCAAGGTGCCCGTACCAGTTGTAAAGAAATACGCCGTCCCAGTCGTGAAGACTGTCCACCACAAGGCTCACAGCCACGGTCATGGACACAGCAGTCACGGACACAGCAGCCACGGTTGGTCCAGCTGGTAATTCTGGATAACCAAAGAAATACATTGTACATAGTGTAATCGTCACATACCTAGTCCGGTCTTTTGTAAATATAGATCGCTTCATAGCTCATCGTGAGGCTGCAATCTAGGGTGATAACTAAGTCATTAATTTAAGTGAATATACTAACTGTATGTTCTAATATAATGTTTGCTGTAAATAGTAACGTTATGCTTTATAACTTTAATAAAACAAAATATCCAAAGAATTACATCTATTTTATTTTCCTGTATGACATGATTACATAACTATCGAAATCTTAGAGTTCAAATATCTTAACATAAAAGATAAATACAAATATGTCAACATCAAATAGCTGGTTTTATGGCATCAATCGGAATATCATAGAGATATGGAATAAAGATCGTGGAGGTATGAAACTTAGCTACATAATTTAGTCATTTAGATTTTCGCTTGTCTTAAATAACTATAGCACTACATAATAATTTTTTTTAGAAATATATTCTGTACTATTATAACAAAATACGTTGAGCACTAATGACTTATTTTATAAAGGAACATAATACCTAACGTCAACCCATTTTGATCACCGAAGCGGCAGACGTGCGTGTATACCTGCATTGTGTCATCCATATTGTGTTCTGTTGTGGGGTGAGCCTGTTGCCATATACGGTGTACAATACTCAACTCCATGCTACTGTAGAGGTTTTCTCCGGGCCATCGTGGGCACGAGCCTGCGCGTCGCGTTCCACACACGCCTCAAGGAGCCATCAGACCACCACAGATGGGTCCCAATAGGGCTGATGCCGACACGGAGCTGCGGAGGGCTTAACGGTTTGCTGGGGTTCCGGATCAAAGTGCAGGAGTAGGAACGAGGTGGTTTTTAGTCAGTAAGAGTCTGAAACTCCCTCTCGCCTCAACCTAAAAGTTAAGTTACCTCAAAAGTTAAAATGCCTTTTGCACATTAGTCTTTTCCAGTAAAACTTAAATAGTTTTCTGAATAAATTGCTTTTTTGAGGGTATTTATTGGATGCAAGTGACAGGCTGTATTTTGATGTGGCAGACTAAGGACTGGTCAGCTGCTGATGATGATGATGATGATGATAAGGACATAAAGGTTATTTATATAACAACAGATACATTTAATAATCACTTAAACCTTAGTGATGATTTTGTTCTGAAAACAATTGCTTTGTAATCATTAAACTTTAAATACGGTGGTTATTCTTGACTCCATTGACAAACGGCGACGGAAAACAGCGCTAGAATACTTGGACTTATAAGTTCTTATTATATATTTGAAATCGCCAACCCGCAATGATGTGGTGATTAATGTTCAAACCTTCTCCTTGTGAGAAAAAGGTTTGCACAGCAATGGGCACTTATAGGTTTTTATTGATGATGTTGATGAGGTACCAAACAAGCTAGAGTCCTCTTAATGAATTTTTAAAATTTGGGGGCTTAATACCTACTAAAAGATACTTTTATTTCCAACCAGAGTAGAATAAACCAAGAATAGAGAACATTTCATTAGCACGTATAGTTAAATTACATAAGGAAGTACTTGTTATTTGGAGCAACTTCATTGCTATCATTCAAAGTACAACAATAATTAAACGACATATAAAAGATAACAAGAAGATTGATTATGAGAAATCTATGTAACTTCAAACCGAGATTGAATCTATAAATAAGTGCCGGTAACATTTTGGTTAAAAATGAGGTTATATGTGGGCGGGGCTTTTCACTGGAATTGGAAGGCTGTGCGACCTTAGGAATGATTTATTGTCATTTAATTTACGTAACACAGAGAAACTGTTATTGGTGTACTCCAAATCAAACGACACATAGTTTATTAATAGACTATTTTCTCACTTTCTTTACTATTATTTCGATGGATCTCAGTTATATAGAATTATATAGAATACATAAACTTATTATTATTATAATCTTGGTTAAAAATTGGTTTTAAAATGAGCTGAGTGACGATGAAACTGAAAAAACTATTTAGCTTAGAGCGCTACTTTTAGAATCTGACTATGGCTGATCACAAGCTTATTTATTAAACAAACTGCCTTAAAATATTAAACTTAGACTGTTATAGGTACAACATTTGATAATGCGTATTTCAAAAATTGAATCTAAGATTATGAAGACATGTAAAAACACACTCATTCAAATTCATTCATAGTACACGTTAATACAAATAAAAATCATACATAGCTAATCAAAGCTTTAAACTAAGTCAATGAGATTAATATTATTGACAATTATGTAAAAATACACGACAAAGCGGAAACGAAAAGCAAGTGGAACGATCATAGACTATTAACATACGAATTCCCATGAACAGGTGAAATTGGAAACTTGATATTGTATTTAATTATAATAAAAAAACATTCATATCTGACATCATGGGACCGATGATGTAATTATTTGGCAAAGACGTATTAAGAATTAGGCCATCGTATTTCAATGTGAGTGATTTATTATCCAGAGGTTAAATTTTAAAATGTAAATCATAAAGTTAATAATTATGCCTATTTTTTTTTGTAATGGCTTACAGATAGAGTGGACTAAATTAAAAGTGAAATTATGAAAGTAGTTATTATTTCGTCATCATAGCAGGGAAGAAGCTAGATGGGGCCCAGTAGGGCTGATGGCCGAGACGGAGCCGCGAAAGGTCTCTCAGGTTACCGGAGCTCCGGCTCGAAGAGCAGAAGTAGTAACGGGGTGGTTTTTAGTCAGTAAGAGTCTGATACTCCCTGTCGCCTAACCCAGGGCGGGAGAAGTCATAGAACGATTATCCCCTCTCAAAAAAAGCAGGGAAGGACTCCATTGCTGAACAAGGGCCATTTCTTTAAGAGCGGTTTTACCATAATATCCACGTTCCATCCATGCTACAACTCCTCTTTCAGATGCTAGTAATATGGTGATAGTCCTCAGTTCACCCTCAATATTTCTTTAGATAATTTTGAGTTAAAGGTCAGGTTTGAGTAAAGAAAACGTGACTAAAGCCGTAGGAAAAGCTAATAATCTTAACTTATCTAAATTCGCAAATAAATTACGATGAAGATACGCATTTGAATGCGATATGAGGAAACTTTGGCATCTGTTTCGCGTTCTTATGGTAATCTGTGACCAACTGCCCATCCTAAACAATTTCTTTTTTTATGAATTTAAAATCGACCTACTATCTTACTTTACACACAGATCAAATTCAATTTCAGCGTACCATGCTGAAGAAAATGTAGAAACATAATTATAGATTCGAAGTATGAAACTCAATGTAGTTTTGTTTTGGAACACACAGTGCAACTTAACCATTATAATATGTATATAAAGTTCATACTGTTAATGAAAACGAAAACCCAGTTATTTAGTAGTAGTGAGGGTAACTGTCCATGTTCCATCATTTGAAGAATGCATGCATCCTTCAAAAACAATAGGCGGCTTACAAATGACAAATGCTTACTTAGCCTCTTGTCTGTTGAAAGTTGCGGGTATAATGCGTTTTATACCGGGAGCCGGTGTTTCAACAGATAAAAGGTTGGAAGCAATGAAAACTGTCCACGAAGCGGCAACGCATCTGTCAAATGCCACAACGTGGACAATAGGCCTAACGCTTGGAACCACACAACTAACAAAATAACAAAGCTGGTATAACATAATAATCACTTTATCACATCACAACAACTCTATTATGGTACAACATACACATTAGACTGGTTTAGGTGTAATAATGTGAGCTTTCTAGTTATAAAAAAATATCTGCATTACATACTTGTTCTATGAAGTAACTTCTACGAGATTTGGTCTACTTTCCTCAGTCATATTTAGGCCTATATATACATACATAACATAATATTTTTATTATTTCAAATTACAAGTTTGAAATCGATAATTCGCATAGCGAGTGTAGTGATTAATGCTCATTCAGTTTTTACCTAGTAGTGAGACAGTTTCAAGCAATGATAATAATGATTATAAGGTTACGCCTATTTTATCATCTAGGCTAGAACTGTTTATCTATGAAATTGACACCTTACGGAACTTGTACCGCTCCTGAAAGTGGTTACAGTAAAGTAAAGCTGAAATTTACACACGTCTAACGAGTAGTTATTATATCCTTGTGATATAATAATCAGGTAAAGCTTTTTGCAATCGTTATGGGTTTTTTTGAAGGTCTTTTAATAAGTAGTTGAGTTCATCAATCACAAACAATCAACACTTATCAAGAAGAAAACGGCAAAGCCTCTTGATTTCCTCACGATATTTTCCTTCACTGTATCATGTCTCAAAAAAGAATGTGATGTCGGTGCTTGCCAGTTATTCAACTTCTTCTCAGCTTCTTAACCCTAATGGTAAAGTGACCACACCTTAGCCTCAGGATTATTGATAGTAGAAACATAACTATGAACTCTTGCTGATTAAAAACCACCCCGTTCCTACTCCTGTACTTCGAGCCGGAGCCCCGGTAACCCGTTAAGTTCTCCGCGGCTCCGAAACTTTGAAAGGATAAGTTTTCATTTACCTACTGGAAACCTATGTTTAGGAAATACCTAAGATCTTTAAGCATATCTTGGATTTGTCTTTTACACACTAATTTTGTAAGATGCGCTAGATTTTAAGATTGCGTTTAGTAAGTAGTAACATTGACCCCGATGAGTATTAAACTGGAGTCGATTTGACACGTGAATACTTAAATGTGAAACTTTAATATAATATTCATTAGAAAAATATTTGACTTCAAAACATATCTGTCTAATTTTACTAATAACACTAATGTAATTAACAGAATAATTTACGACTTATTAAGTAAAGAAAATTATGAAAATCAATAAAAATATAACTTTGGTCGTGGTAAGCTGCAATAAATATGAGCCTTGAGCTTTGAAATAGATTTTCATAATTACATTTAAATGAAGCAATGGTATCATGGAAGATGGTTTTAGACCTTCAGTACCAAGTTTCCCTTGCATAATCATAGAAAACGATGTTAACGAGATCAGTACAGAAATTAACATAATATATTTTAGCATCAGTGACGTAGTGTAGCGATGTCCGTTCGAGTTTTGACTCTAATGTATTCATAGGCGTTGTTGGAAAGAGCGACTTGTATAAATATGTGGAGCCGTCCGATGTCACACCACAAGCAACCGACACTCGGAAGGGACAACAACTAGCTCGTTTTTTTTTCCTGGCTTCAAAGCGATTAGCTAAAAGCCATGGCATTTGTTGTAAGTTCATTCACTAAAACTTAAACACAATTCAAACAAACATGACAATAGCCGCCATTTTTCATATTCCAAACTGAACATCACTTCTATTTGTTACAGGTCAAAATTCTCTTCCTGTCAGCGCTAGTGTACAGCACTAATGCCGGATATTTAAATGGCCAGCACCAAAGCCCTGACTCATTCCTGTCATCTGCGTTAAATGCACCTTCAGCTTCGTTTGCACCTTCATCCACATATGGAGCACCTCATGGAGGCAGTGGCCCTCACCACATTGAAGAGTCAGTAGGAGATGACCATGGTCCAGTTCTCTCTGGAGCATCTCTTCCTGGAATAGGCTCTATTGGTGGATCCGGTGGATTCGGCGGTCACTCTCTCGGTGGTGGTCATGGATCTGGACACAGCTCTGGACATGGTCCCAGCCCAGTATATGGACCACCCGGCCATGGATCTGGACTCGGCTCTGGTCATGGTCCCAGTCCAGTATATGGACCACCCGGCCATGGACCTGGACTCTCCGGCCCTGGATACGGTTCTCTTTCATCCGACCTCTCAGTTCCCGGACCATCTGGTAACGGATACTCTGAGGGTAGCCTCCTTCTCGACTCGAATCTGCCTGGACCTGGTGACAATAGTGGTAGCGGTCTTGGCCCTGCAACTCTTGGAGCCCCGAGAGTCATTGGAACAACAGTCAGCGTCGGCCGCCCAGTTGCTTCCGCAACCAGATACGAGTTGCAATCTGTTGTGCAAAATGTCGTTCGTCGTATCCCTGTTGAGGTGACTCGTCACATCCAACTCGCCGTGCCACAGCCTGTACCTGTGCCCGTCCGTCAAGAGGTCAAAGTTCCCGTGCCACAGCCCTACCCAGTCCATGTTGACGTTGTGAAGCACGTTCCCTACCCCGTATACAAGACTGAGCACGTGAGCGTTGAGAGACCAGTGCCCGTTGAGGTCGTCAAAGAAGTCCCAGTTGAGGTCATCAAGAAGGTGCACATCCCTATTGACAGGCCGTACGAAGTAATCAAGAAGATCCACGTGCCCATTGAGAAGCACGTGGAGGTTCCCGTCGCCGTGTGGAAGCCATACCCACTCCACATCATCAAGCACGTCACCCACTACAAAAAGAAGAGCTGCTGCTGGTAAGGTGGTGCCTTGCTCTTCAACCAGCTGGCGCCAGCCAGCAACAGTCGTGATCATACCAAATAGTCAATAGAATTGTAAATACTTTGATAGTCATTAGTTTGTACATGTAAATAGATGAATATAAAACGTATCGTTTTACAATCGACTTGTTGTTTTCTTATTTATCCTGAATTTTGGAGGATTTAAGTTTACACTTTTATCATAGTTTCACAACGTAACACAATGGAAAATGTGGGCTAAGCATTATTGCAATTAAACATTTCAAGTGCGTTCGTTATTTGATAAATTTGTAATTTTATCTGATACATTAATGACACAACTTAAGAGTATTATATAGAAGAGAATGTGTCATGGACGTATAATCCTCAAGTATACATTCGCATAATAAAAACGAGTTAATCAAAGAAGAACTATATTTACTGTGTCATATATTTGTCAGTCTTTTGTACGTTTTTTTTATAAACCGTCACGTCAAATTTATAAAAATATTATAAAAGTCAAAATCTGTTTTTAAGCTTCAAAAGTTCACTCGATCACACTTTATATAAACTCGCTACAAAATTATATAATTCTGTCACAAAATCCAGTAAACAAAAGTGAGAGTGAAATTAAATTAGATAATATTCAACATCAATTATTTTATTATGCTAATCCGACCGCAGATGTGGAAATATCGAGTTCCGATGTAATCGCAGCCTACATACCGACGCTTATTTCCGATATTCCGATACTAACTTACAATTTATGGCCTATCAGAATTGGAATATGTGAGTAGTAAAATAATGCTTTGTATGGCGGTAGCAGCAGAATAAATTCGATTTTATTACCATCATTTATCTTCCTGTGGGTATCATACGTGTTTTTTTATATTTAATGGGCCGACGTCTGGCTAATATCTTGTCTGGTGGTACTTAAGCGATGATGCGACCTACGATAGCGCTCGTCTGCCCATAAGCAACCTATTCACTCAAGCCTTGATGACACCCAGGTTATAAACTTCAGGAAACACAAACTCAAATGAAGAATTCCACTCTTTAGTAGTACGTACAAGGAAGTTTGATGCGAAGCGCTTCATGCTTGTGGTGGGACATCTACCATGAATCGGTGACGCTTTGCCGATTGCCGTGTGGTACGATTATGGAAAGGATTAGGGGAAATCAAGAGTATGACTTTTCATGTAACACTTTAAAATGTAACTGTTTTTTTTACCCTTAATAAATAAATAAGAGTCGATTAATTGCCAATCCCAATAACCAATATCAATGCAAAACCTGTGGATTAACATCGATTTTTGATTGAAACTCCATACAACTAAGGTCACAAATTGATCCATATCAACATACTCTGGGTTGAGAACCGGCAGTAAGAGACTAAATATTTTACAGACACTGGGTAGCAGCGCTAAAGCTTTTAAAGTTAAACCATGATATCCACCCTGTCCTGTATAGCACGGAGATCACAGTAAACCTTTCTTGTGTATAATGCTCCATAGTTCAGCACTGGACTATTGCAGGCTGTTGATGTAGCCCTTACTTAAAGCATACATAGACATACTATTAATGATCCGTATAAAATCTTGTTGACAACATTAATCCAAGAAAGAAAGACTGGTATGATTTCATTATCTAATAACGAAGTGATGAAAAGTGGGTGTGAATAATAACTATGTTAATTATTTGTAAATAAATAGTATATAAAAACAAACCGGATCATAATCACATAAGTAGTCACGTATTAACACGAATTTAGTACGGTATCTGTGTTATGTTTAAAAAAGGGGTGTGGCGACGACAGTTTGTGAAACAGACCTGAAGTATGAGTCACAATAGAACCTGGTTTATGTAACAGTTTGTTTTATTGATGATTTGGCTAATGGAATGTGAATACCGTTGTATATTCGAATGCAACTTCCGATCTTACAAATATGGCATCATGTTTGCGTCAGTCAGGGGAAATCCATACAAGAAATTATGTTATTGCCTCCAATTACATATAGTAAGCCAATAGGACATCCAACAACAATAATAGTTATCGGTGCGACGTTGGTCGACCGTACATGTTGTTTATAATAATTGTAAACTCCGTTCGTGGCTTGAAACTGGTCGAAAATACTCGAGGTGTTTACGTTACGTTATTATGCCCGTAATTGAACTTATTACATCTTTTGGTTAGAAAATTATTGTCACCAACCCTCCTATTCCCATGCATGTCAGAGCTGACTTAATCTAGCGATACTAGATATTTCTCAGAGTCCGAATAAGAACATTTTTTATAAACCTAAACCTTTAAACTGAAATCTTCAACGTTGAAAATTATTCAACGTCCTTAGTTGTAGTGTTACCTAAAAATCCTCAGTCACTTGTTGGTACAGGCATTATAAAAAGCGCCTTATGATAAATAGTCGTGAATACGCATGATAAGCATTTGCGGCCACAGATAAAATAAGACTAAACGCTGCGATCTAACCAGCCTAGTATACATAGCTGGTAAAAAAAAATTCATGGTTTGCACAATAAATATGGTAAAAATATTTAAACTCATATTTCCATTAACAAATAATTTAAAACCAGATTCTTAGTAAGAGAACGTCTTGTTTGTTTTATATTAAAAACTCAATTCGTAACAAAATAGCATAGAAACAAAACGTTACCGTTAATTTATGATCAGGCGCTTTATACATACTTAAACTCTATTATGTACTCATTATTTTTCGGGATTATATTGTAGTCCTACATTAACTACGTTTTTCTTTAGTTGTTTGTTAGTCATCTATATAATCTATATAAATAAAAATCAATTTCCGTTCGTTAGTCTCGCTAAAACTCGAGAACGGCTGAACCGATTTGGGTAATTTTGATCTTGAAACGTTCGTGGAAGTCCAGGGAAGGTTTAAAAGGTGAGAAAAAACATTAATAGGCGGTACGAAGTTTGCCGGGCCAGCTAGTATATCTATAAAATAAATAAAATGAAAATTAAATAACTAAATCATTGACACCATTTTAATACCACACTTATGTAGGCATTAAGATAAAATTTTGAAATGACGCAATTTGAAAAATATGTAAAAATATAGAAATCAGGAAATAAAAATGAACTCAATTTTAATGCGTGACAAAATTGGTAATAAAAACATCTTAAGTCTAGATTTTAAGTAGATACATACATCTACATCAATACATAGTAATAGGCCCACCTCATATTACATAGGACTTATAACGACACTGGTGAAAAGTGATGCTACCTCTATATTCTGTCTCTGTGAGAATTAAGGGTGCTTTAATATCGTGTAAATTTCATCTCGCACGCGGGATTGGCCTGTATGCAGGGTTGTTGCCACATCTGGCTTAAAAACACCCTAAAAGTGACATTAATTAAGGCAGCGACAGTCACGAGTCGCGGAATGCTGCTCATGAATATGAGCTTCTAACAATGGTTCGAAACTAGTCGAGTTCCTTACAGTTACGTGTGTAAACCGTAAACATAATAATTAATTAAATTATTACTTCCATGGTTGCTGTCCATAATCCAATAAGCAAATCAGTCACAAGACGTCTACAGTTCTTCAAATGATTTCCAGATAGGTCGGTTGGGAACATCCTGTAGCTGTAGGTATCCAGTGCTCCCTGCGACCTAGTTTTATCAGGTCGTCTGTCCACCTTGTTTGTGAACGTCCTGTGCTGAGTTTGCTAATTTTGGGAAAATTTAAAATGAATACCGAGTATTCTTGTCCAATGCCAGTGCCAACACAATGATGCCATTACTCGCTTAAGTAACGTTCAATGAAATATTATTCGTCAAGTCACCGTTGACTCTTCGTCTTCGTCAATCTTGCATTTATAATAACCAGGACAGGTATCTTCTTTGACAGTTATTATTTTGGTTTTCATTCGACAGGTCGGTTCAAAAGATTAAATCATACATAATAAACATAAAAACATAATAAAATAAATGAATGCTTTTAGTGCAAATATAATCAAAGAGATAGAAATTGAATCCAAATTCGTAAGGATTACATCATAGATTTGAATAAATCACGAATATTCTTAATTAAAAAATCGCAGCAAGACACGATTGGTTGCCTCTCGGGGGGTCGCAGCAAAAGTTTATATAAAAGAGAGGAAATCAAAATTGTTTTGGCTCATTAGGTTAGGTAAGCTGCAGTGAGATACAGCCCGTGGTACATTGGAAAATAAACAATAAACATTGCACAATATGGTTTTAAATATTATGCAGTTGTATTAGAAGGGTAGTTTTTGAAGACAATAAATGTAATCATAAAAGCAATTATTTTAAACAAACGTGTAATGTAATACGAAGATTTATATTGGTACGTACATAAATCTTAGTTTATTTGTCTACTATAATAGTGTTGATAAGTTGAGGCAATTTGTGCCGTGTTCTCATACAAAAAGGTCCAATTTTCATTAACAATAATAGGAATTGCCATTATTACATCCAAATAAAGGAGTCAATACTGTTGCTCATTAATACTTCTTTAATGACTACGACTTTCACCCAATATTAACAAGATTGCGACAATATTGAGTCTGTATGAAGCGAAGTTTGATTTTACAAGCGTAATCAATACGGAAGTATTCAACCGACACAGATATGAATCTATTGAATATTCGTATGTGTAATATAGTTATATAAAATGTTGTTCTTCTTCATTTTAAGGCAAACGACTAACTGCGGTTGAGCGCGGCACAGGCCGGTCACCATACAGCTGTAGCCATGGGGGCACAGGTTAGTAAAGCACACAATTCACGACTTGATGGACTCTTTGATAAATTCATTGACTATAGAGGTAAATCTGCTTTCTCAATTTCAGAAATGGTGTCTCCTAATACCGATGTTCTTAGCATCGGTGAGAGCTGGACTGAACGACAACGTTGCACAATCGTACTATGAAACGCCACAGTCCTCATCGCCAGCACCAGAACCAACGTCAACCCAACACCCTTCATTGAGAGGAATGAAAGAAATTGTATTATTCCTAACACCAGATCAAGTGGAAATTCTTCAAGCGGCTGGCGCTGTTGTGCAACCATATCCAGAATATGAATCTGATTTTGCTGAACTACAAGAACGATTTCGGCAAAGCATTGAATATGAGAACCAAATGCCTCATCAAGTTTGGATGAATTCAAGCGATGATATCAAACAAAATCCAGATATATTAGAAGATTATTACAAACTTTTAAACATCCAAGAAATCAATGATGATTTGGCTTATCAAGCTATGCTGGCCACAACCACAGAAACTACTACAGAAATGCCTACAACAACAACACCAAAGTATAAATATACGAAAGCAAGACAGCAATACAAAGACAAGGAATTTTCTACTCCATATACTCCTAAAAAAGCGAATCGACCGAAACCTAATAATCAAAATAATGCAGAACAATATGTCCGTTTTCTACCGAATTATGAAAGTGAGACTCTACAAATGATACCATTCGAAGCTTTACCCCTTCCTGGATACCAACATGGAGTGCAAGCAGAAATTAATATGCAAACAACTGACATGGCTCTATCAACTGCTAATACTGTTGCGAATACACAATTACAAATAAACCCTGAGATAAATGATCCAGCTGAAATAGTAACAAATATAGGAGTTACTACTGAGACTCTGATAAATACTTACCCTCAGCAATCTGAGCGCATTCAACCAGTTGCAAATACTGAAGTGCAAGTTGAACCACAGCAAATTTCATACATGCCTGTACATACAACTCAAACAAATAACTATAGTAGACAAAACCTATACAGGCCGGTAAAAATTCGTATCAAACTAGACAAGCAAACCACAACTCCTCCTCAGACTTTTGTGCAAATTACACCAAAACCTACGCCAACACCTCAATCATATTTAGAATCTCAGTATGCTATTCAATTCAAGGAAACTCTTAGTTCTGTTGAGGGTCTTCCACCACCGCCGGAGGTGCAACAGGAGAAGCCAAAAACTCCTACAAAACCCTTGCCAACTGCCCAAACTCCAGTCGTACATCAAGATAAACTAGCAGTGCTTTTGGCTCCGCTCTACCAACACCAGTCCATAACTGAAACAATTAATCATCAAAAGCAGGAACTATTGAACGGGGAGTTTAAAATTCGCAGTAAATTACAAGAAATGAAGGAATCCCAAAATTATGACCATAAAGCGTATACTGTGGCAGTGGATAACTTGAACAGAAACTTGGGACAGCAGAATGTTTTAGCAAAGCTTGAAGCTTCTAGGGTTTCTAATACGGGAAATGTAGTACGACAGCCTTTGGAATCGGTGAGGAGTACTGAGTATCCAATGGTAGTACGTATTCCTAAACCTCAAGAGGTCAAAATTCCTGCTCCGTACCCAGCACCCTTGGAATTCATGAAACCGTTGAGAGTTCCGAAACCCGTGGACAACAAAAGAGGTCCCCATTACCAAGGAGGTAGAAACGTCTATCTTAAACTAGAGAGACCACATCAAACTTATAAAGTAGTTCCTAAAAATGAGAAGTATCTGATTCCCACCAGGATCCCTGTTAATGTACAGGAGCCAGTCTCCTACGTCATCCGTCACATTTGGGAACATTAGAATTAGTGCTTTCGAAGACTGACTGTCTTTGAAACACCGATAATTTATTTTTACGAAAAATAGTATTTAGAAGAACCCAGTGCAATATTGATGCCATTGATTGAGTGATAATGTATTTAAGATATGACAGTTTTTATTTGTATTTATTGTATTTAAATAAATTGTGATTGAACAAGTTAAGTGAAGAATTTATTGCTGGTTTCAGTGACTTACGCCTGAGAAATTATTTCTTCATTATAGTTTGTTGTGAGTTGCACAGCAAAATACTAAAGGCGCCAAGGAAAATACGTTTTCAATTAGTGATGCCTATACATTTAGTTTTTATAAAATAAATCTGTGGTTAGATGACGTGATATTAGTTGTTTAATGTTATTATATAATATTATTGAAGATGAGTATAATTTTGTACATTCATCTATTTCTATTACTACCTAGATTAGCGGGTTTGCTCATATGATGAACTACTTTTATTTTAAAACAATAGTAATGTATTCATTAGTCTTTCATAATATGTTTAGTTACAAACTTTTCTTCTTTATCTGAATTTTCCACCTAGTTAAACAAAATTCAATATACATGGTACCAGCAATTTTATCGAGAGTTTTATTCTAACACAAAATCACTAAACCGTTATTTAATCACTGATTTATTTACTTAAAATTACATATTAATACAACCATTCTATAATAAGTTACATAACAATGTAATCCGTGAAAAAGAATTTTAATCAACCGGATGTTAAAGCATAAATTAAAGCAAAAATAACTTTTATAACACGGAATCTGATGTCATTTTTTCGCATTTCAATCGATCGCGATATTTAGCAGTTGAATTGCAAAATACATTTTTTGGAATTATGTTTGTGTATATCATCGCGTAGCGTAGAAAGTGGTGCCACCTACAGCTTGAATACGAAATCATAGAACGAGGAAGCTGAGATGTCGCGTTTTAAAATCACAAGATTTGTATTCGCTGGTGTTGCATAACTTCGAGTTGTAACATCGCCCCACATAAGTATTTTATCGTTCGGTTTATGAGTAAATTATTCATCGTTCGTTAAGAATGAGGTTTTTATAGACACTTCTAATAATTTTTGTGGTTGTTATTGATTTTTCTTTGAGTGAAATGAATGCAATCATGTATTTATAGACAAGTCGTCTTCATTTTAAAGCTCCTGAGAGTTTTTTAATCGAGGTCAGGTTTAAGAATAAACTTTTCCCTTAAAGATTTAAAACCTACATATCCTAATTTAACATTATAATGTAAGCATAGTAACTTACAATTTAAGTAATATAGAGCATTTATTAGTGAGCTACTTACAGTGTACTTATAAAACCTTCTATGTAAAACCATTATTCTATGTAATTCCATCTGTGTAAAACCTACAATGTACCTACTTATATAACCTATAAACTCTTAAAAAACTTCAAATTCAGTACACTATATATCTAACATTGCATCATTATAAAATAGAATTCACCAAACACACTATCAGCAGGAAATTACAAGCCCACCAACTAAATCTTTCTATCCATAATATTAAACATGCGCGGAGTAGGCCGCAACGTGGTGTGAACAACATTAGTGGCATTACGTCACAACAATTTCATTGTTGACACTCACAAGTAGACCGTATGTAATTGGAATGTAATATTAAGGAAAGAGATCTTAGAACGAAACATAAAGTAAATAAAGTACGTAAATTTAGGGCTTATTTCACAATGACTGAATGTTTTTTTAAACGTTTCCCCACGTTCAGATTTTCGCCTATGTCGTGGGTGCGTTTACAAACATACAAGTTCACATACACAATGACACCCAGACCCGAAACAACAATTTATGGATCACACAAAGTGTTGTTCCGTGCGGGAATCGAACCCGCAACACGTTGCACGGCAGCCGGTGGCTGGGCAACCGGCTGCCGTGCAACGTGTCAAAGAATTAGTTTTTGTTTGTCAAACTGATGAATTATTTGGGTGTATGTTCCATATGAAACGTGCTACAAATGTGTGTTAGTTAAACTAATAGTAACTTAATCAAACAAGGCCTAATAGAGAGTGAACTAGAATTCACAGATGGTATTGTAAATTCGTCCGTCTAGTTTGGAAAATAAGGTATTGTTTTCGAAATACATACAAATGTAGTAAAGTATTTAATGTGTGGCATGCACAAATAGATGTGGCGTGTTATTATTATGGAATGTTTCTTTAAGTCGCCTTGGTATGCGTATACGTTTTCAAAAAATGTTAATTGTCATTCCAATTAATGAAGATAAAGTTTTTGAAATTATAACAACTATAGAACAATGGTACCTGCAGCAATTTTTGCCGCAATTTTTATACATAAAGTACCTACCTACTACTAGAGCAATACTGAAATATATCTTAAAACCATGACTCAATATTACTCTCACGCGCATTATATCGAGTCTACCTAGATAAGTAATAGCTATCGTTTAGCATTATTTCCTTGTATGTATGGAATATATACTCGATATCGTGACTCAGAAACTACGGGACGGCAATTTAAATGAAATAAGAGCTTACTACCGACATTTGCCTTTCACGATTTCTTCTAGTTATGTTCCATTTCAAGACCGTATATTTTGGTTGGGACGTTGTGATTGGAGTCTGTATTGTTATTATGTTATTTAATGTACCAAGTCAGACATAGGCTTCTCCCCTTTTTATCATTTAGAAATATTGTTTGAAGTTCCCAATAGCTAGAGAATGTTGTAACTCGGTTAAATCACGATTGCGCAACCACCGGCTATGATCCTTTTTGTGAATTACGGAGTAGAGCTCTGCATAATCAGTCGGTAACAATTACATGAACCGTCAGTAACAAGCTATTAACAGCTGTTGCTGCCGATATCAATACATGGTCTAGTGGAGCAGAAGAATACTGCCTGTATCACAAGTTGTGTGGAAACTTTGTCAGTTCAAATTCAAACACCAATGTTTATATAAAACAAACATTTTATTAATATCACAATTTCTCTGGGACTCAATCAACGATCGCCTAAGTCACAATAATCACTAATACGAGAATCAAGCGAGAGAACAATTACATAGAAAACAATCACACGAACAAGCAGTCGATCAACTCAGAAACACATCGCGCGGTACTTTCTAACACCCTATCTAAACTGTTCCTAACTTCTCATAATTTAATTGCCGCGCAATGCCTAGAATCTACAACAACAAATTCAAGACCTACATACAAACTTCCTAAATACGATTTTAGAATTAATTCTAGATCAGGTACATTTTGGATCTACAAGACACATTTCAACTGCATAACGTAAGCTGAATACATATTAGTCTCAAGCTACGATCTAACCTTATGTGTACTAATATCAACAGGCAAGAGATAGACCTAAAGTTACTTTAGACGGTGGAGTGAACTCCACGCGATATGCCCGTGGTAGTCTCTGGTAAATGCAGTTAATAGCTGTCGTATTTGTAACTCTCGCCAGAGTCGGCGAGTGCGTGTCCCGCCTCCGCGTAGTAGTGTCCTTCACCGGCTTCAGGTTGGGCAAGCTCTGCGTAAGCTTTTAGGCCCTCACCGCCGCTGTAGCCTTCGAATCCTCCATGGCCACCTTCAAAACCTCCGTGACCACCTTCGAAGCCACCGGACAGATGCTCGAAGCCTCCGTGCTCGAAGCCATGATGCTCGAGAGCAGCAGCGTGGTCGGTGTTGTGCCTGTCGTCCTCGAGAACCAGACCGCCGCCATGTTTGTGCTCAGTCTCGGGGTGGATCAGCTTCAGGTTCTGCTCAGACTTGCCCTTCTCGAGAGGATGCTTCAGCAAATGGCTGTGTTCTTTCTTCACGTACACGGGGACTGGGTGGAAGTGCTCGAATTTGATCGACTGGTGTGACTTGGCATGTTCATGCTCAACTTGGTGATGGTGTCCCGTTTCGCCGATGAGGGCGTGGTGGTCGTATTTGGCTTCTAGTTGTGGGGCCTCCTCATGGATGATTCCAGGGTAGGCGGCCACCACGGCCAAAAATCCCAGGAAAATCTGTGCATAAAATAAAAACATTTTAATTGATGTTTTAATATACAACATGTAGAGTGTTCCAATTTCATCAAATAGATTTGAACTAATTGAGTCTTAGTAATTACATAAGCCTACACAACAACATGTCTTGCAGTAAGAGCGGACGTTGGCTGTCAATTAATAAACGAAGAATCGACAACAAAATATCGAGCTGGTTGTCGTTAACTAGTTTCGCTGCGGGCACTAACTCGAGGAATAGAGCCTATCTGATTTATGTAACGTGATAGACTTCCTACGAAACCAAACGACGTGTTACCAGGAAGAATTACTCTTATAGATGCTTCACTGAATTCGTTCACTGATCAGTGCGTTCGATCAATCAGTTAATATTCCTGGTTACTGAACTAATTTGGTATAATAGGCTAATTAATATTTTGAGCACAGTCCAATTAACACGATCACGGTATTGTCGAGTGGCGCACTGGGTGCGTTGTTTGCACTGAGTGGACGATTTCAGCGAGAGCACTAGGTATCACAAGTACACAGTTACGCACGTGGTAGTACATGTCGGCAGTGGATTACAGTGGAACACCTTACTCCACGAGAGGGTGGTGGGTAATGCCAGCACTTGTAATTTGCATCGTATTTATACTCGTTTTCACTTAGCGGCCGGTGTGTGCGAGTGCTCGGGCTGCAGTTACGTGTGCGCTGTGTGCCGCATTGTCAGTCTATCGGCGTCTCAATTAGAACAATAGATAGAAATTTGTTGGGAGATCTATAGAAAAAGCCTTCGATATCGACAACATCAACATTTTGCCATAATTATCACGTAACATCTTCGGTGCTCTCGTAATTGTTATGTTGTGTAGCGATGAATGTTCACTATATTTGCATATTTTATGCAAGTCTTTAGCATATTGTGTATCAATAAATTTGCAAATTGGTTTTTAATAGTTTTTATAGTCATTCACATTTCTCGTAGTTTATCCACACGCGAGATAGTTTTATTGCTAAACTGAATGAAATGTAATAATGTGATCTAATTTTTAGATAGGTTCCAATGTTCTCACTTTACAATTTTCGATTCAATCAAGATTGTATGTAAGTTACTTGTGTTACTAACTGGCTATCTCTGCAACTGGTAATTAATTGTATCGTACATTAATTTTAATTATACAAATTGTTTATTATTTA